CTTCACTGCTGTTTATTGCTGCTCCTACGACCACTACTATTACAGTTCGCTCATCGTGTCAACCTTCTATCCTGTTAACACTCCAATCCGTACCAGAGCTCCAAGATTGCAGTAGTGTGAATCGTACCATCGGGTGCCACCTTGCGCTAAAGCCGGGAGCCAAGAGGAAGAAGAAATCTGGCTTTTTCCGTGTATTCTTTATGCGGTTAGAGTAGCAGTCACGCGTTCGGCAATCCTTTACTAAGAAAGTGCACGGTAGTTGAATAGAATAGTATAACCAAACAGCAAGGCGAAAAACACTACGCGCGAAAGAAAAAAAAGGCACGTAAAGGCCAGGTGAGGAGTATGGGCCTTGCAAGGACTTTAAGGAGAGGAGCAAGAACAAGGCAATCAGAAAAGCTATTGACGTTAAGATGTCAGCATGGACAACGAAATTTTAAGGTAGGAGGAGACATAACGGAACCTCTGACAATCAGGGCAAAGACGCCTATTGACTTGGGAGGTCGATCAGTCATATCGTACATGCTCTGTGCCTTTTATACACAGCTACAAATTCATTTGCACAACTCGTACACATACACAGATACATACACAACAATAGGCAAGCAGGCCAATAACTAGGGAGAAGCAACCATAGAGGCACGGTACATAGAGCGGCATGTACCAGAAAAATTCCCACCCAAAATTCAAATACGTTGCCGTGCGTAGGGTATAACGCCGACAATAAGGATAAGCCCCCTTGATCAAGCAATGGAACGCGGCGGATAACACCGAACTATCATTAACTGAGAGAATGGGTTGTTAGTAAGAGTTATCACCTGCTAGATGTGCTGAGACTGATATGGGTTCTTCCCAATCGGCCAATGCTTTTTGCATCTTGCGCTATCATGCACCCTGTGCTACTTACGTTAATGTGAATTAGAAAAATGGGCGGGGATCATAAACGCGGCATCGTCACTAGTAACACCTCTATAGCAAAAAAAAATATTATGGATCGAGGTAATGTCCAAACTATGACGAATACGTCGTTTCGATGAAATATGTATATTATGTCGAGCTTCCGGTCTACATTCAGTGCAGCTTATTCAGCTAGTAGCTAGAGAGGTTTCGACATGCGCACGCATACGTTGCATACGCAACCCATCACTGAAACTCCACACGACACTCAACGTCTTAGGTATCATTCAAAGCAGTTGCCAATAATAGGAGCCAGTAGCATCGTATCGGCGCGTAAAAATAATAAACACACGCAGAGTTAGTTAGAAGCGCACCGCACTCTTACAACTGCCTGTATCTCGTTTTCTTTCTTCGAGTTGGAAACTGTGCCCGTGTCTAACCTTTAGAAAGAGATCACTGCAGCTCAAATTAATGAACATTCAGAAGATCTTTTAATATAGGAAAGGTTATTAACTCCCATATTTACTCATTCATCCCAATTTATCATTGCCGTTTCGATTATTTAAAAGTTAATTTGGGCTGATGGAACAGCAATTCCTGGCATCAGGATGGGATGTTCGCTCCCTAACGAGCGATGATCGAGTTCTGTAAATAGCGTTTCTGTTGATCCTCACCCAAACCTGGCCCCCACCTAAATTTTCCGTTTGTTCATTTTCATAAGTTACTCGGTTAATGTTTGAAACCGTTTCTTCCGCTACGGAAATAATTCAATAATAGGTTTTTAACACTGAACTTTGCTCGTGTAAAACCATACTGCTTTCCATAAAGACTTATAAAACCGTGTTGGTAGAGACGCTTGCATTTCACTATTACAAAATTAGAATTTTGCAGCATGATATATGGTAACTGCAGCGTGGGTATATGGAAAATGTGACGCTGTGTGTTTCGAACACGTACTAACGTGTGTACCTTTCTCCAACTGAATATTCAACTGATCGATAGAACGAGACGCGCAAGCTTTGTGAAGAACTCGGCAGCCTGATGCAGGCCAATTATAGCGGTGATTTCAATCATTTTACGGTAAATTGAACCTTGCCACACTTCGTTCACACGTAGTGGAGAACATATATTTGCGGGTCCTCACAGCTCGTTGACGCGTCTACCAATTACCGATAGTCGGGATTTAATTGGAAACATGGACGTGCAGTCCTCATAAGAGTTTGCTCTTTTGCGTGCAATGCGCGAGTTTTTTTTTTCGAAAACTCAACTATCATTGTCACTTTGGAGCTCACGTAGTGGTAACTGACGGCACTGTCTTCAGTCTTTCAGCTAGTTCTTTTGTTCCCCCCCCCCTGCACTATCGCTTTGGCATTGTTTAGTAAGTTCGTCTTATCTTGTGCTTCTACAACTAGACCCCAATCACATCTTGCGTAGCGACTTCAACAGTTGATTAGTGGGCGAATCAATATTTGCATCAATCAGACGTCGTAAAGGAAACGAAATCGTCGTCTTTGACGCCCGAAGTTTTTGTCGATGCATGAACGTGTACGACAGAATAGCTTCGCTGACCCGTGGTGACGGCGCAACTATTGACAGTGGCAATTTCCGTTTCACAATTAGGATTTTTTGCGAATGCGACCAGCCAAGCGCTCTTGTTCTATTTTTGTTTGCTATTTTCTCTTGCGATGTTGGTAATGAAATTATTTTTCACTGTCGTGAGAACGGAGGCTTGTAAGAAAGGAGGAAATTTATCGCCAAAAAACTACGGGTCTCTTGTTTAAAGCTGCATGACATGCCTCACTGGATACAACGGAAAAGTAAGCGTTGACACCGCTTCCCGCATGCTTGATTTCCGCGTGACTTTTGAAGGGAACGCTTTATAACAGGCCACGGAACCCTTAGAGATAAGTCATGACTGAGCTTTGGCACGCCACAGCGTTGTGTCTATATATATACATGTAAGCTTTGCTCAAGGCAGGCAGCCAGGCAGCCAGGCACTGCCTATGAAATGTACGTTAATGACCCTAGTTTTGTTGTAAGGGAAATGGCGGTTCTTAACCTTGGAGAAACGCAAATCTTTATTCGAACTCCGGCTAGAACAGGATTTAACATACTCTCATAGTTTTTATGTTTCAGTCAATTTTTTCTCTATGTCTTGGAAAAAAATTTTAGGTCTATTATAGGTAGGAATCCGTCCGGCCGGTTCTTGAGACCTTCTTCATTGCTAAATTCACTGCTAAAAGTTGAATTTTCCACTGGTCGGTGAAGATAGTGGTTCGCCAAAAGCCTTCCCATATAACATTCTTACAGTGTGACTTATTCTTTTTAACCACTTCTAAAAGTAAAGAAATTTCTGAACGTAAAATGTTGTCTTTTGTCGATTTAGATTCTTGCTTAGGCATATGCCCAAGAGTCGTCCATTCGCTGCCCTACGGAAAATAAATAGTATACAAACGTCACTTTTTGTCACCCGCTCAGTATTACTCTGGTCGCTTGTTGTCCTGTTAGGAACCTTGATGCCTGGTGCTCGCTCAATTCATAGCGTACTCAGGCTTCTACTTTTTGGGTAAATTCTGTCGAGTGAAGATGTCTGGCGACAGTCGTATGAACGCAGTTCATCTTCTTGGCCATTTATACGCAAAACTGTCTTTAGCTGGTAACTATTGATCTCGGGTGGCAGGCCACAACGAGGTGCATTCTTCAGGTTCGAGACAGCATTTTTGAACTTAGCAAATCAGCTTAAGAAGTCTTCCTAGACATGAAATCCTTTTCCGAAACCTACATTGGAGAGATAATTTCGCTTGTTGCACGGAGGCACAAGACTCCAGTGTGGGAGTGTATGAGAGCAAACAAACAACTAGAGAAGGACAAATAGACAAGAACGCGACTATTTGGAAAAAAAAACCTTTATTTGAGCATAAAGAGGTGCACATCGTAACAATTGGGAAAAAAATTTAGGCTGCTTCAGTAACTTGTTGACCTGGGCAAAAAGGTGCTGTAAAAAAGGTATCGAGAATACATTTTTTTTTTCTTTCAGACCACTGAACTGTAGAACCCGAATTCACTATAAAATTCAGTTGTAACGACGGGCTCCTGGAGGTAAAATAGAGCGAGGGTTCTCGGAGTCACATTGTGGGTGTGGCTATATTTCGCACTATCATTTGTATCTAACCAAATTCGAGTATATATATATACAGTGCTCAAGTATGAATACTTCTTTCTCCAAACAGAAATCATTTTACTTAAATGGCTAACTTATGCAACATGCTTGTCAAAGGTGCAACCAAGATTAGATCATCCTCTGTAGCGTTGCTGAACTCCAACAACGAGTTAGTTCTTAAGGATTTGAAGATCCTATTCGAAACAGTTAATTAAGTTAGTTAAGTTCTATACAGTTTGATAAAGAAGCAGTTTTTTTTTTTATAGTAGGTCACTTTTTATCGGCTCAACTTCATTAGACGACACTTTATTCAAGAAGCGAGGTGAGATGAAACAGTTGTTTTTTCTGGGCTTATTTCATCACTGAATGAACAATTGCAGATCTATGCACATGCCCAAACGAGCTGGTGGTATACTCCGACCAGAATCAAATAAAATGTTTGCAGAATTGCAAATAAACTTCAGACCGGACATTTATACTGCTAACAATAAGAAAGATACATTCGACCGTTACATTACGCATTTTTATTATATCGAATATTTTCAGTTGATTTTTCTATTTAATGTGATGTACACACACACACACACACACACACGCACGCTTGAGGACGCGTCCATTATGAAAAACGTATGGCATGCCGGACAAGGCCTAGTAAAATAAATCTATAATCGGGAAAAGTATCTGCATATTTGAAAACAAACGTGTGAAGGAAACCCGCTCACACAAATGGCACCGTGGTGCCAGCTACGGCTGTTTCTTGTTCCTTTATTTGTGTCAAGAGCGCATTTCTCTGCGACTGGAGGTGCTTCATCCAGAAATAATCACTTTATTACAAAGGTCTAAACAATCATATTCATGCATAGGGTAGAATGCTTCACCAGCGTGTTCCGTATGGTGCCGAAGTTACGTATGGTTGTCATTGTTATGCTGAGTTGGTTTGCAGTTCCTCCGAAAATCAATCAAGTGCACCTTTTGGCTACGACAAACAACACGCTTGTCTTTGCGTGGCAAAGACCCCCGCACAACAACGGCGCGACCATCTCACAGTACAACTTCCAACTGTTGCACGATCAGCAGCTGCACGAGAACCGGACAATGGCGGCCAATGAGAACAGCACGAGATCCAACTACATGTTCGTCTACGTGGCTCTAACGCCGGGCGACTCTTACGCTTTCCAGGTACTGTTATTATGACACAATGGCCAAAAGAGCAGTCGCTAACTGGCTGGATGTATTTGTTAATGCGACAGTCATGTTCAATATTGCAAATGCATTATACGCAAAGCAGTATATTTCATAGAAACATGGCTCGTTGTCCGTCAGGTACGAGCTTGTAATGCAATCGGCTGTGGAAACTGGTCCGACCAGCTCGACGCTAACACATCGGATGGAAGTAAGTTGTTTTTTCCTTCTTCACTCGTTGTCAGTATATAACAAAGTTCTTGGGAATAAACCGAAAGCAGTTGATAGCCTTGATAACCCCATAGACAGTTTTACACCGAAGAGATGTTGAAGACTTTAGACCTAAACATTTGCATTGGTTAGAAGGGTGAAAGCTGCTCCTTCTGATACTCTAACGAGAGAGGTTATTACTAGAGAAGAGTATAACCAAGGGCCATAAAACATTCTGCTAAAAACGTCCTTACTATTGTATTTGTAGTTTGTTGTGTGTAGTTGACACATAAAAATACATATTTTGTAGTGTATATACATACTATGGATACATGGCACGCTTGCTATCAAATTGGTGATATGATTTTAGCTTCGGGATATCGAAAAAAGAACTCTAGAAGCGATACATTAAATAAATCTTGTTATACTACCATACGTTGTCATCTGAAAACAGTTTATTACGCTTTCTCATACAACCAGAACATACTCCGACGTGCACGTACTCCGCTGCGTGCGTTCGGTTACCATAGTGATGATAGTGGCCTGTCACGTGATAAGAATCATTGGCAAAGATGCTGTCACATGGGTATAACTGGTTCGTTCCAAGGGTTTCGCTAGGAGCTAATGCTTTCTTCCTCCCTTAACATGAATTATTTTACTAGCATGGAAAAGTTTAAGTTTTTCTACAAGTTCCAGCGCATGGGCTGGTTTTGAGGTCCCGTATAGGCTAAGACAGTTATCAAAAAAAGAGCAGCTTCTCGTTTGTTGAGTCTCAAACGTTTATCATATAAAAATACGAGAATTGTGAATATATTTTAGTGGTGATATATTCTGTTAGTCATTACTTAGCTTTTATGCACTTTCCCTTTGATTTTCTACCAAAACAAACTACAATTTAACACAGTAGATCAAAGTGCATAAACAAACACAAACGTTTCCAGCTGCAGGCGCCCCCCTAGAGGTCCAAATGAAGTGTTTTTCGAATGATGAACGAAATATGACATATACACTCGTCACATGGAAGGCACCAACGGAAGCGCGCGGAACGATCCAAGGATATAATGTGAGTACAACGAACGACTCTGAGACTTTTTTCCCCTCATTTCAAGTGTACTAATATACTTTCATAGATCATCATTGGCCTATTCAACAGTGTTTGTTCATTGAACTTTTCAGTGTGCCTAGAAATACAATTTAAGTATCTAATGGGCGATAACACGCCATTACGAACTCCCAAGCTTGTTAACAACATGCTATAACCCTTAACAATGAGCGGAGGCAAAAAAAGGTCACAATTGCTAGCCAACATATGTGATGCCTTTAAACGTGGGTCTGACTCGTCAAATATATTGCAATTTAAGTAGGATATGTATTGTGCTAAGGAAACATACAGTGTGGGGTAGAGGTAGCATTTTTCAACTTAGGTTCTTGTTGCATCTCTTCTTGATCCGATATGATTATTTCTAATAAGGTAGAGTGGTAATTACATAAGTGGTAACAATGCTTACCGACCCTTTGGCAGCTACTTTAGTAGCAGCATTTTTTGTAGCTTCAACGAATCCGTCCGCCCCTGCAAGCGTGGACGAGTTTCTACTTACAAAAATTGGCAAGGACAAACAAAGCACGAGATCAGATGGGTTTATCTGGGTACAAACAAGTAATCTCTGTCATTTAGAGATTCCACTGCGACATCCATACAATTACGGCTAAAGTTATTAGCATTTTTTACAGATCACAAGTAGTTGGCCCTCACAAGATGTACTGTAAATACTCTATCGACTAAAGCACGTATTTGTTTAATATAGCTTTAAAAAACACGGAACTGCATGGATAAAAAACAGACAGACAAGTCCCGATAAACTAGCGTGAAACTGGTGGAGGCAAATGCAGGGAGACATAAAGAAAACAAACGAAGGCTTAGGTGTTTTTTATCGGCTACAGTCTGGGGCCATATCCAGCAGCAACGGCAGTAAATCGACCGACGTTAGCGATGGCTGATACAGCGAGAACGAGAGAGGGTCCGCGGCCGTGTTCGACAGAAGAAGCTGCAATGACGGGGTAGTGCATGAGGCGTGCTCAGCAATCGGGACATCAGCGGCTTTAGTCTTAGCGACGGTGGCTACCACGGAAATAGTGATCGCCAGCGGCGTGGGGGGTATTTACGGGTCCGTTGGTTTTAATCGAGACGCGGAAACGGCATCTGTCGGCCACGTAGTGCACGACACAGATACGTCCGTCAGTGCCGCTCAGCCCATATTCACCGACAATAACGCCCTTGTGGCCGACCCCCGAACGATACGAGCGACCAGCCAAGTGCTGCCAGCTGTACGAAGACCTGCCACTGCCTGGACTCTAAATATTTGAACCGTGTCAAGGCAATATGATTAGTTAGTGAAACATAACAGCTGATTCATGAAATAGCATACATTCGTGAAACCAAAAGTTCTAGTGAAGGACATGGTACGCATGTATACACGTTTACTGTTAATTCATTTTTTTCAGCCCACCGAGATGAACGATACTGCGAGCGTCCTGCTTTCAATTACTTTCTAGTCGTAGCATGTGGCATGGGCTTTCTTTACGTTAGAAAACCAAGTACAAACCCAGCTCCGTTTTATCACATCCAAGGCATGCATCGACATAATGTCCAGTGTCAGTTTGCCGTGCCCAGAAAGCGAACAGTTCTCAACTAGGCTAGTTTACTTTTTTTTACTGTCATTTTCCCGGACATGGGCATAATCATTTACTAAAGGTATTAGGCCATATAAATTCACCAAGTGACAAAAGGTGCTATCCTAGAGATTGCCTTAAGTCAATAAATAATGACACTGCGCCAGTCCATTGCATAGATATGGCGCCTTAACTTCTACGTGTGGAAACTGAAAAACGTGAGGCCTCTCTCACTTCAACCTACTTTATTGCCTATGTAAGGAAAACAAATGCTTTTGTTCTGTAAAGATCTAGGTTGTAATGATCATTGCATTTTGTAGTGCAAATCCACTTAATTGACAAAAGACCTCGAGTCGAGCTGAAGTCTTGGATACGTTCTAGTAGAAACAATCCCAAGTGTTTTTTTGTAACAGTAAAAAGTCAGGTGCGAGTGAGTTAAGCTGCTCGTAGCTACGTTATGTTCCCATCCTATTTTTACAGAAAATCCCAATCTTTTTACAGACAATTATTCGTTTTTGGTCAGCAATCATACCAAACAGTTCATATGAAACTCTTCTTTATTTCGATCCACTTTGAGGCAAAATATTAACACCATGTTTTTAAGTTCTACCGACACACACTCACGAACGTATCAAGTGTGTATAAGACAACGGACGAAGTATGTGAGAACACAGTACTATTATCAGTTACTACAGACAATCAATTACTGCAGTTAGCTGCCGCATGGTGGCAACTTGAGGTCGATATATAGGTCCATTCATAGGAGTTGTGAGTATTTTACTTCCTGCTAAAATAGCGTGCAGCCTTAAACTCGATACCGAGTACATCGGCCAGTGTACCATCTTTCTCTGCCTCGAATGATATACAGTGTGAAGTTTATTTGAAACTTCGTCTACTACGTGTCGCAGACATACGCTAGTAATTTTCATCTGCACAGCTGCCGATGGTACGAACTCTATTACGAATCAAATTCCGGATTGCAAATATATGGCGTCAGTATCAGCTTACAGAATATAATGATCCACATATATCTTCAACGCTAAGATCTGCTGTGGGGATTCCGCCGAGGTGGCCAGCCCGAGCAACGGCAAAAGCATCGGTAAACATGCGATTAAAGCCATAAAGGTCTTCAAGGTCATAGATCATCTCGCTTTGGATAACCAATACTCGACTTTCTTTCTCTGTCATATTTACGCCATGTTAAGATACACAAACAGCCGTTTGCTCTCTCTCACTCACGTAGAAATTTTTTTGGGCTAATAAGAACCTTTTTTGTTCTCCGAATTCAGAATTAACTCTACCTGTTAAGCTAATGTCAAATTTTTCTTGTATAAACTGTCTTAAGATGTTTATTATGCACTGATATTTCATTATAACGTTGTCAATTCAAACAATATGCATCGAAACATGTATAAAAAAAAATGTGTATATGTCGACGACCTTCGTACGAGAATCTAGTGAAGCATTCATTTTGGTATGACCGCATCGTTGGTGTTAGGAACCCAGTATGGCATATTTAAACATTGTTTTCGCCTATATCGATCCGCGACGAAAAGCGTCTGTTTGGCGCAAGAAATTAATACGTTGAAACTAGCTAACTATTACAGATAATTGTAAAGCTCTATAGATATCTTCTTTAATACTTGGGTAAAAAAAAAATACATAAGCTATATAACTTATCGACGTACAGATTTAGGTCACAAACGTTTTAGATACAATTCCGACTGCATCCAATGATGATCTTTTATTGTGGTGCCACTTTCAGAGTTTGCACACGGATTTGGGAGAAGAACGGTAGTTAACCATAGATAAGGGTCTATTTCTAGGTAGCCGTCCAGAGTTTGTCTTGTCGGCTTTACTTTTTTCCAATTTACCTGAACGTATTATTTATGTTCTTGCAAAATGAAAGAAAAGTGTATTTTGTTTCGTTTGTAAAAAGGCATAGAGCTAATGTGTATGATAAACCATCTGTATGATTCGATCTACCCTTGTAGCTTGATAAATAACTGAAGTGTGCTTCACTGAAGAATTGAGGAGCTGTATAAGCGGCGCTCCTGGTTACCCCATTCGAAGATAACGATTCCCTCATATAGGTACCAAGCTTTTGTGGTGCAGGTGCTGATAGCGACGTCTGTCCACTGGATATCCACAGTATTATTTACGACTAAACACCGACGGCAATACCTTTCAGCTTGCTTTTTACTAACTTCGTGGCAAGGTCGATAGGGAAACCTAATTTACCCTAAGACATTTCTCGCCATTAGCGCTTATGCGCTTTTATATTTTTTACGCTACCAGAATATTTTTTCCTTCTGCTTGTTTCGTCTGTGGCTTTCAACACGACTAAATGCATTGCAATGCTCTCAGTTCAGAAAAGCTGTACCCTATCGAAAAACTCCGAACTTTAGTTAGCGGCTTTCATCGATCAGAGGAGAATCAGGTAAAGGTAGCGATTCTGATATTTCGACGATGTCAATTGGTGGTCTGCGTGTGAGCAACTTCAATGAATATGAGTTTACTAAAGTAGTTGTCAATCAACTTGTGGAGGTAAACTCATCTCTTACAGCTTAAAATATTAAAATCAGCCAAGGTAACTTTGAGCGGTGTCTGCTCTATCCGCATCTTTGCATACAATTAGCGCACAAATTTTCTAGGCGCTCAATGTCTACTGTATGAAATACGTGAGAGCCGTTTGCCAGCTAGCAAATGACGCTTATAGAGAGGTAGAAATTTGATTGGCGGTACATTTATTGATAACGTATCACGGTGACTGACCGTTTGCCCTAGATGCTATCAATAACGAACTCGCTAGGAGGTATCGTGACATCCCGCTGCGCTGGTTTGCATTCTTAAGGGTCTAAATCCGCCGACGTTTCACGATGGAATAGTTGATAGGGGCATACAAGTAAGGTACACAAATGCAAAGTGTTGTCTGCGATCAGCTTGACCACGAGTTCAACATGCGTGTTACCGATGTTATATAACTTGTTTAATAGACGTTGATAGCTACGTAAGGCCTGATTATTCGGCAATCATCTGCCATTTAAGACTAAAGCTCTATGTTTCTTATTGTCATAAGTTTAGTTCATCTTAGTAACTTAACCTTGGTAACTGAAATGAGGATAACAAAAAAGCTGTCTGCTTACATAATTGTGTAGCTTGCAAAAAAATAACGAATTAAAAAAACAAATACGGATGAGGTAACGTCTCAGATGCAATTGCAAAATAAGAGTTTACATTCATTGAAGCTATACAGGCAAGTAACAGGAGCCATGGTCAAGACAGTGGATGAAAAGCCACCGCCAGATATAGTTTTAGTTCAGGAAAAGACGAGTACTTGAGAACTGAACACGAGGCACGATCAGATTGACCACCCGTGTATGGCACCGGTAG